TCAGGTGGACCCATTGCAACAATGAGATGTACAAGTCATGTCGAAAACAAACTTTACAACTTTGGTGGGGGGATGTGGGGGGAGTACGGGAAGGGATGGGAAGGGGAAACAAAGAAGAGGCTACAATGCTTGATAAGAAATGTACTCGATATCTTGCCCATGTAATTGTAACTCCTCTGTACGGTATTCTCACAATAAAAACAAAAACAAAGTATGCTGTTAGTTGTAGGTTGGTTGATTGGTTTTACAGCACTGGAATTGAAATCCCAGTCTCCTTTTTGCAAGAGTGTTACTCTTTCGTCACACCTCCAGCCCCTTTTTGCCTTGATTATTTTCAAGGTATAGCTTAACTTTATACCTAGGTTAGCCTGGAAATTGATCCTCCTTTGTGTCTTAGTGCGTGTTCTATTGCTGTAACAGGAACAGCAGCAGAATGGCACTGGGTGATTTATGAAGTAAAGAATTTCCTTTGGCTGAAGATTCTGGAGGCTAGGAAGTCCAGGAATATAGTGCTGGCATCTTTTTGGCTTCTGGTGAAATCCTTATGTTGCTTCAATCCATGGCAGAAAGCAGAAGTGCAAGAAAGTACACAAAGAGGAGGGGGGCAAACTCCTGAGATAGCTCACCCATCCCCATAAGAAAAGCATCAACTCATTCATGAGGGCTCTGTCCACATGAGCCAAAGACCTTTCACTAGGCCCAATCTCCCAACACCAGAATTTTGGGGAGATAAATTCATACCACAGCATTCCATGTTGGTCCCCAAAATCATGACCTTCCATGACAACATAATTATTCCATCCCAATAATCCCCCACACTTAACTAGTTCTAGTACCAACTTACATTCCAAAGTCTCATTTGAGATTCAAGACAAATTCCTTTTAATGCTGAATCTCTGAAATCAAACAAGCTGTCCACTTCTAAGGTGTCACAAGAACCGGCATCAGGTAGTCCTTCCCAGGAAGAAGCAAGTCATAAAGAAGCGGAGACAATGCCAAACAAGTCCAACAACCATTTAGGGTAGACATTAAATCTTACATTTCCAGAATACTTTTCCAATCCACGTGCAGCCTTCTGAACATGCTGGGGAAGGGGTGGGATCCCAACACCTCAGGCAGCCGCACCCTACAGGGCTCAGCCCACATGGCTGCTCTCTGGGCTTGGCGTCACACAGCAGTGTTTGTGCTGCACACAGACAGTGGCTGGACTGTTTCAGAGTGTCAGTAGCAACCCTAGAGTTGCCCCCAGGGAGTTCAGTATATCCTTTGACATCCTGGTGGAGGCCTCCACTGCTTTACCTCTGGCATCCCACATGCCTGCAGAATTATCACCATGTGGATGTGGCTCAGCAAGGTATATTTACTGTATTCTTTGTAGCACCAACAGGAGGCACATTTGGGTCCATTTGAGAAACAGTGTGATTCTGCTCAGGGTTGCTGCTGGTGTCTGTGGAGCCACACCTAGAGCTTCCTGAGCCTCAGCTGGATGTGGTTGAATAGCCTCACACTAGAATGCAAGAGGAATCTTCAGGCATCCCTGAACAGCAAGCCCCTAGAGGGCCCCCTAGTCCAATCCCCTGAAACCATTCTGTTTTCCTAGGCTTGTAATGGGATAGGCAGCATGAAGAGTTCCAAAATGCCTTTGAGTCTTGGTCTCCGTTGCTCTGGCAGATTATTCTGACTCCTTTGTGGTCATAGTTACCTCTTTAGCAACCAGTAGTTTGGCCACACTATATTCCTCATCGAACATACTTTTTTTACATACTTTGCATGGCCAGGGATGTAATTAAACCATTTCAAATTATAATGCTTGATTTCCTTCTTAATACAAATTACTGTTCAATGATACCTTTTGGTCATTCCTTTGCTACTGTATCTCCATAAGTGCAAAGTAACCCTGTAGCCTCTTAAGCACTTTACTTGTTTGGATATTTCTTCCATCAGATATGCTAGCTCGTCACTCTTAAATCATGCTCTTCACAAAGCCCTAGAACATGGATAGAATGAGCCACCTTCTGTAGAATGTGTACAAGGATGCCCTTTCTTCTAGTTCATTCCCATCTGAGAGCTCGTCAGCATGGCCTTTTCTGTTCACATTTTTATCAGCATTATAGTCATAACCAATTAAGTAGTCTCTACAAAGGGCCAGACTTTTCCTAAGTCTCTTGAGGTCTCACCACAATTGCCCTTAATACACTCTATTGAGTAAGCCAGGCCTTTTCCAGCGTTCACTTCAAAACAATTCCAGTCCCTAGCCACACTCAGTTCCAAAGCTGCCGTGTTTTAGATATTACTATAGCAATATCCCATTTCTCTGTCCCAGTTTTCTGTCTGAGTGCAATTGCTCGTGCTATAACAGAATCTGTGGTAATATATGAAGAAAATGGTATCATCATCTTCTTGGCTTCTGGTGAGAACCGTGTACTGCTTCAACCCCTGGTAGAAAGCAGAAAGATAGCCAAGCACTTGCAGGGAGAGAGTGGGGAGGGGGAGAGAAGTGACAGCTAACTGGTCCCATGAAAAATATAATGTATTTGTCAGGGTGCCACCTTACCCCACCTCTGCTTGACCCAAATATCTCTCACAAAGTCCAGGACTCCAACTCTGCTACACTGAGGAATTAAGTTTCCAACCCATGCTTTTGGAAAACACACTTGAACTGTAGCAGTGTCTTTAAAGAAATCTGTCCATTTAACCAAGGTTCACAAATTTGTGAGCAAAGAAGATATGTTCATAATAGTCTTATTTTTTACTTCCTATGGGATCTATAAAGATGTTAGCTCTTTAAGCTCACTTTGATTTTTTTTAATGTTCCTAATTTTAGCTTACAAAAAAACCCTTTGTCTCTGAGGTAGTCTGTGTCATTGCTATCAACGATTCAGTTGACCACTACTTCCAACAACTTTGTTGAATCCTCCAGTAAGTATTAGTTACGTCTTGATTCTATTAAAATACTCTGTGTGGATCATCACATCTACAAATGATTAGAACTTTCTCTTTTTTCTTCTAATTCATACACCTTATGAGTATTATGATTAATTTAAAAATGGTATGATGGGACAAAAAGAATAAAACTCAATATGTATTTTAAAACTTTATTAAAACAAAAGAAGGAATCAACATCTGAGTGGTTTTAAATAAGTGTGGGCAACAGCAAAAGTAAATTCTATCTAAAAATAATGTTAACAGAGAATAAAATCCTAAAATATCCAGGTTGATATCAACAAGCCCATGCTTGAAGTCTCTTTCTCTGCTTTCTTCTCCCTCACTCTCTCATTCTCTCACTCTTACTCTCATCCACATTCTTTAGTGGTACTTGGGCTTTTGAACTCAAGGTATCATGCTTGCTAGGCTAGTGCTCCACCACTTAAACCACAACCTAGTCCTTTTTTTTTTCTTTAGTTACTTCTCAGGTAAAGTCTAGTGTTTTTGACTGGGCTGGGCTCAAATCAAGATCCTCCTAACCATGGCTTCCCTAATAGCTGAAATCACAACTATACATATTATGCCTAGTTTATCAGTTGAGATGATGTCTCAATAACATTTTTGCCTGGGGTGGCTTTGATCCTCCATCCTCCCAGTCTCCACCTCCTGAGTAGGCTTGTTTCTCTCTTGATTCATGGTTTCTATCTTGACTAACAGAAGGTAAGTCTGAATCCTTAATCTCTGGACAATTACTCATTTGTCATCGCAACAGGGATTTCCCTAATTCATCATTTCAGCTCATAGCCTTGTAAGCTCCCATTCTTGTTGTAATCATCTTATGTGGTTTTCATGAGTGCAGATTCTTGGCATCAACTAGAACTTGACAAATAAGAATTTTTATTGGTAGTTCTTGAGCATCTACTAAGTTAGAAACTCAGTCTTCTTGAGAATTATCAGGGTGGGAGAAAGAAAAGAGACCCTAACCTCCAAACAAAGGAATGTACTCCAAAAGCCTGGGCCTGGTAGCCAGGGCTGGGGAAGAAGAAATGGTTTATTTTCCCTGTACTCCATCCAACTGCCTTAAAATTCTCTATGGCACATACACGTCTACTTTATAATGAATGCCCATAACACACCTTCCCACCCAGATCAAGCCAGGTCTGGGGAGAGTACCAAAATGATAGTGTTGTTCTTCCTGGAAATAATAGAATCCTTCTCCCAGACATGATTCCTAAAAATTAGGCTTTGGAGTTATCAGGGACTCCTGACACAGTAAGGAAGGGTGGAGCTTCAGGAAGGGGAGACTAGAAGGCACCATACCACTGTAATTCCATAGAAGAAACACAATAAATGCAGAACAAAGCAAAACTCCTGCCATATCCAGGCTCAGCAGCTTCACATGTCCACTGAAGTATTATTGTTAGTCTAAACAAAAATCTCATAATGAGTAACAAAAGGCACTTCTCAAAAAATAAACGTTTTTTTAAATTCATTTTGTGTCCTAATAAATTCTAAAAATGGCTGCAATACAAATAGTAGAGCCACACCCACCTCACACAGACCCATCTAGAAATTTACAGTTTTCACTCTTTTAAAAGCCACATGTAGGGGCTGAGAAGTTGCCTCAGTGATAGAGCGCTTGCCTTGCATGCATGAGGCCCTGGGTTCGACTCCTCAGCACCACATAAGCAAAAAGAAAAAAGCCGGAAGTGGCGCTGTGGCTCAAGT